CAGAGCCCCGGGCTCCCGGGCGCCTGGCCGCGAGAGCCCCCGCGCTGCCTTTGCCCCTTCCTGAGCCGCAGTCCCCTCTCCCTCCGCCGCCGACCCTACCATACCCGTTCGCGGTCCCTATTAGCTTGTAACTAACTTAACACTTAAGCCTTTGCCCTCCGGCTCAGCTCCTTAAAGCTTCCTGATTCCCAAACTTTTATGGTAATTACGGACCACCGCTCAGTCCCTAACGCCTGTGCCCTCCAGGATGCCAGGGACCCCGGCCGCGCGTCCCCTCCAGACACCCGCTGCCCGAGACCCCGTCGATAGGCTTGCAGAAAGCAAACCAGGAAGTCAGGGCTGCTGCCGCTGCCCCCGCCGCAGTAGCTCCACGTGGCTGATTTATAGCTGGAACGATTTTTTATTATTATTATTGATCTGGGGTTTTTTTTCACAGTGTTCCCTAAGGAGGTGGATTTGTAACGGAAAGGCCCAGGTGAGATGTTCAAATATTAGTGGACTGGAGGAGAAAGCCCGTTGCCCTTTCTCTTGAGTTATTTAGAAGAAAGCCAGTGCATTCTTCTGTGTGTGGACTGATACATTTCTACTCAGAGGAACTAGGAGGATTTCGGCTTGTTACAACACTGTCCCATCCATTCTAACCTCAGACCTGATTTTTGCCACTTGCAGGAGATTGCTTTTCTTCCTGTGAGATCTCAGGAAAGGATAATGCTTGACCAGGTCTCCCCCCACCTGCGCCCAAATGTTGTGCCTGTTACCTCCTAACAAAGGTGTGGATTGCTTTATATCAGAGTGTGTACTTACATTATCAGTGTTCCATGCTGTAAGTTAAACAGAATGTTTAAATTCTAATCTTAAGTGTTAGGATGGTCAAGGTTGATCTCTGTCCTAGTATTACTCCATGTCGGCAAGTTTTTTACTTTGAAACAGTAAAAACCTGGTTATTTAAATCCACCTGAATATGAAACCTTATATTTGTGCACTGATTGTCACAGTGAGAAGAGGCAGGTTTTCATTATTAATATAGGAAACTTAATTTCTACTATTACGAGCATAGCTGGGGAGATATGCAAACGGCAGCTGGTTCCTACCCCTAAAGTGATGGGAGTGGTTTTTTGATAGAATATTAGAAGTTTCAGCTACCTTCCCCCACCTTTAGTTTTGCACATAGGAACCTTGCAATATGTGTAAAAGGCCACATTAGAAATTGATGAATGAATATTTGTAAAAGAATGGTTCTCTGAGTTCTAATAATGTTTAAAAAACAGTATACCTTAAAATACCTGCCTTTTGCAGCATTAGCTTGGAGGCAGCCTTTGAGAGTTGACAGAACTCTTTAGAAAATAAGATGCTATGTGTAAAGCTTAGATCAGAGCAAGCTGTCTGAACCAGGGCTCTTACATGCCACATAGTGATTATAACACTTAATAGTATTATCAAAAGAAATAATTGAGGGCAAGTACATATGCAACTATAAAGTACAGATAGTGTGATGGACTAATATGTATGGTTATAATTCTTGTTTTATGAATACTATAGCTACTATTGTATGACAGGGATTGTTAGGCGGGAATCCTTGTGGCATGTTTAACCTAGGATAGTGCTCACTGAGGAAGAGAGTAGGGACTAGAACCTACTGGGAGGGACGTACAGCAAAGAGAAGCACACTGGACTCCACCAGATATGAAGTCCCATGTGATGACATGGGGCTTTCGGTTCAGAGGCTGCCTGGACCTTGGAAGCAAGATAGCCGGAAGAGAGGAAAGTTTTTGACCATCTAGAATGTACAAAGTGCTTTACATTTATCTCATCTAACCTTTACTTGACATTGATATTACTGTTGTTCTTAAACTGGAATTCAAAGCACATTTTCTAACCTCAGTTGTTGCCACTTTGTATGTAATCTTTTTGATGATGATAACCTGACATCTGTTATGTAAATATTCTCAGATATGATGCAAAACATCAAAGCCTATTATTCATTTCAGAATTTTTCCCCAGGGTTAACTCTGCTGAAAAGGAATTGTGCCCATGTTTGGGCTGCATTTTCCTGGTGCTCTCACCATGATTGCCTTTGGTATGTGGCAGCCAACTGAAACATCTGAGCTTCCAAATGTAACTTGCCTTTGGCCCCACTGTCCGGGTAATTCTTTTTGCCTGAAATGTCTTCTGACACCTTAACATTAAGTTAGATGTCAGCTGCAAAACATTTTTTCTGGATTCTCTTCCATGTACCTTCCCACCCCTGTAGTGGGATAGATACCACACCTGGGACTTCCACTGCACCCTACTTTTCCTTCCCTGATAATTACAGTGTGTTGTAATTGCTTAACTTTTTTGCACCCCAAGAGGCTGGGGATTTGTCTATCTAGTTTATTATTCTGTCTCTGTCTGGGTTGTAGAAAAGGCCCGATATGGAGTGGATGGAATGCCAAGTGAATAATTGGATCAAGACTACAAAGAGAAGATGAAACGTCAAAAGAGAAGTCAGTGCTGCTTCAACTGCTAATCTTGCTTACCTGTTTACCCCAATGTTGTTCTTCAAAGGGTGACACTGAAGGTTTTATTTAATTACACAGAGCCATCACTATCAACTGATGGTCTTATTTCCCTGTTACATCCTACCAGGGATACCTAAGAACTTGATGGCTTTAAATTCATATTTTTGTATTAAGATTTTTTTTTTTTTTACTAAAATGAGAACCTACAGTCATAGCCAATTGCTATTTGTAGACATTTCAGTTTTAACAGTGTCTAATTGCCAAGAACTCAGTTACATTAGAATCAGCAACTTGTAGGGCTGGGGATGTATGTATAGTGTGTCAGTATAATGTGTCATGTTTTTTCTCCTACTGCTTGACAAATTACACCAAAATTTAGCACTTTGAAACAACAAACCTACATTATTTCAAACAGTTTGAGGGTCAGGAATGGAGGAATTGCTTAGCTGAACATTTCTGTCTAAAGTTTTCTCATGAGTTTCTTCCCAGGCTTACATTAGGGTTATAGTCACTGCCTTGTGTCTCAATGGGGCCTGGAGACTGTGTTTCCTAGTTTATTCACATTACCAACAGGAAGGCCTCAGTTCCTCATTGGTGGTTGGGAAAGACCTCAATTCTTAATCATATAGCCTTGTCTGTAGGCCCATGGAGATATGCAACAGGCTGAGTCCATAGTCAGGATAGTTTTAGCAGGCTGACCACTTCCTGTGTGAAAGATCGAGGGAAAAGAGGGAGAGTTTAAAACCCACAGACTGGAACAGTATTGAGTTAGGGGACTATACAAGGATGTGAATACTAACAATCAGGGACAGTTGGAAGCCATTTTTGGTGTTGATTATTAAGTATCTGGGTAGAAATGCTTGTTTTTCATTTATTGTGAAAAGTCAGTTAATTTATGATTAACACCAAATCTTGCCAAAAGAATCCAGATCTTAAATAATTGCTTATTTCTGATTATCTTGTACAGAAGTACCTTGTCTTCATCTATAAGAAGATGTTGAGATAAATGATCTTTAACATCCCTCCCAGTGCTGAAATCCCTGAGGTTGACCTATGATGTTAATATATGATTAAAACTTTAAACTTGTATTCTCATGTAAAATACTATGAAGTCACACTCTTTGTACTTTTTTTTCCTGTCATAGATTACTATTTCCATCATAAGCTTAATGGATAATTCTGTACTCATCTGGGATAAAAGACTGTTGTCAAGGGCTTCCATTTGATGAGGCTAATGGTCTCCTACAGTGTTTTGAAGGCAAAAATGCTTATTTAAAAGCTCTCTTAGATTTTACACTGTAGAACATGAGCTCTTCATAATTTAACACTATTTTTGGACCCCCATAATTCAGAGTGCTCTTGTGATTTAACCGTTTACTTAAGGGGTGATTGAAACAGATTTTATCTCTTACCGCTCTTACTTGAAACCTCTTCAATAGCTTTCCCTTGCTGTTAGAATCAAGTCCAAACTCCTCAGTTTGTATTACAAAGACTTGTGAGCTTGCCTCTTCTCATCTCCAAGCCTCTTGGCTGGTCTATTTTCTCTTTTCAAACTTTAGCTATAGCCTGTTGTTTCTCTTCTTTCCTGTACCAGGTCAAGTTCTTTCTCACAGACCTTCTCGGGACACTTGATAGTTTCTACACCAACACTTTGCCTCCAAACTCCTGACAATCCCTCAAATTGTAATTTATACACCAATTATTTCAGAAACCTTTGATTCTCTTCAATTCCCAACCACTTGCCAGGTTGGGGGTCCCTGATTCATGTCAGAGCATCCTGTAAGTTTTCTCTTAGAGCATAGAGACTTCTATTTTGTAAATCTTTGTTCAGTCGTCACCTCCATTAGACCAGTTTCTTGAAGGCAAGGACCATGTTCTCATTTGGCATTGTAACCCCAGGATGTTGACGGTGCCTGCTCAGTACTTAAAAGAGTGACTAGGTGAAAGTATATTTTATGTGCTAACTGGTTTAAACAGAATCTTAGAAACGTTCTTTAATAATTATGGTTTAAGCTGGGTATGGTGACCCATGCTTGCAATCCTAGCTACTCACAGGCTAAGGCAGAAAGTTTGCACTTTATACTCTTAAAAAGCCTGAAGGGCCAGGATTTAGCTCAGTGGTTCCACTGCCTGCCTCACAAACACAAAGTCTTGAGTTGGACCCCAGTACCAAAACAAAACAAAACAAAAAGACGAGATTCTCAGTGGTAGAGTACTTAACCTGCATGCACAATGCCCTAGGTTGAATCTCTGTGACACGTAAAAAGGGTATCTCTTAAAAGGCAACTTTTTTTTTTACCCTTACGTAAGGGACTGGAAAGGAGTGCACTGTTCAATAGCTTACCTGACCAATATGAGGACTGTAATTCCTAGATAATACACAGCTGTTCCAAACCGTCTGCTCACTGAAGGGATTGTACATTGCCCAGAGCTGCATGGCCTTTAATGTGCGAACCTGTTACCTACATGACAGATTAGCCTGTTTCTTGTTATATTGATAATCTCTTCATAGCATTGAGGAAAGGAGTGGAATGGAAAGAGTTTCCTCAATAAAAGGGCCAGCAAACCTACCCCGTCATACATAAAATGGGAGGGAGATCTGGCTAGACGCAAATTTACCTTCACAAATTCATGAAACTCAAGTTCTAAGCAGAATGTTTAAATGATCAGAAAGTCTTTAAAACTGAAACCTGTGCTACAGTTGTGCATATAAACCTCTCCATTATATTTTTGCATATAAACTTCTACGTCAGTAAGCAGACAGTTTCAAACAGCTGTCACTTTATTATCACATCCAGAGAGCAAAGAGAGATTTGGCTAGGCACATTGGGCATTACTGGAAAAACAAGACCTCTGGAGGGAAATGAACACATTAGGCCTAGAGAAAGGAAGCAAAGGGAAAGGGTCAGTCTCACGCTGTCCAAGGCAAGGTGTAGACCCTGTAAGGCAACACGATGGGAAGAACAAAGAATCTTTTGGAGGTTTTTGATGAGTTTAAATTAAGATTGGGTTATTTGTAGTAGTAAACTATCCCTACAAGCCTCTTTAGGCATTTCAAGGGAAATAGAGTTGAATACAAATACAGATTGCAGGGAGATTATGCAGAGAATATTCCAAATAATCCATGAATTACAGGGTGAACAGGAACTAGTTATCTGTCGATTCTGAACCTTTTTGTTTTCTATGCCATACTGCATCTTGCCAATGTTGGAAATACATTTTTTTCTTTAGTTAGTTTCTAAAAAACTGAACTGCGAATAAGTGCATTTTCTCTTTTATTTGAATACATGGCTCTATATTAAATGACTATTTGGAAAGCCACACCAGGGAGTTAGAAGCCAAGAGTGCTGATCTTCAGGGAAGTTCAAAATACTGTCATTTAGATAAATGTACCTTTTGGCATATTGCACAGTTTTGAAATTTGAATTTTAATTACATTTCTTTTTGGAGAGTGATCTTGAGGACTTGGTCTTTTGGGATAACTTCTGTTTCTCAAACTATATGAAATCGTTTATAACAAATTGAATTCTGCTCTGTGATCTTTTATTGTGTATTTATAGACGTTTCTGTTTATTTAACATGTTTTTTTTAGCACATCTCATGGGCTAGCCATTGTTCTAGATGCTAAGGATATGGCAGTAACCTAAAAGAGTAAAACTCCCTGTATTCATAAGAGTCAGACAATAAATCAAATATGCAAATTATTGTATATTTACTAGTAAACTGTCACAAAGATTAACTCATTTATACAGATATTAGGAGAGAAATGCTACGGAGAGAAATAAGTAAAGTGTAATACGGGATGCTGGATGAGAGTGAGGAAAGGCTTCCATTATAAATAACCTGAGAAGATAACATTTGAACAAGACCTGAAGAGGAAGGGAACAAGCCCAATGGATATCTGAGTTGACTTCTAGCACAAGGAGCAGCAAATGCAGAGGCCCTGAGACAGGAATGTTCCTTCTTGTCTGAGGAAGAACAAGAACAGAAGGAGAGCTGCCCCTGAAAAAGTGCAGGGAGAACTTGGGCTCCTGGTACTGACTGGCTTTTATTTAGAATCATCGGATGGTTTTGTGCAGGTGGAGGATGATCTTGCATCTAGGTAGGTTCACAGCCTTTGACTTCTGGGTCTGGCTTGGTGAGAAAGATAAAAGCAAAAACTAGTTAGGAGGCTATTTTAATAATCCAGGTGAAAGACTGGTAACAGACTGGGCTATAATAATAGCAGTAGATAGAAAAGGTCAGAATATGGACATATTTGATGATTCTTCCAACTATCATGGTTCCAAATAATTTATTTTGCTTCTAGACTCTGTAAAGTAGTTATATTTATAACCTATAAAACAAATCTAAATGCTCTGACAACTCATGTTACTTTAAAAAATGGAGTGACTTATAAGCGTAAACAATTACTCAACAATTTAACGTGTTTAGATTTTCATATAATACATTATATTTTCAAATGGGACAGACATTTGAAAATTAAATCTCCCGTGGAACAACAGAAGTTTAGATACCAGAATCAACTGATCTAAGAAAGCAAATGAAATGATAGGTAAAAAATAAATTTTTTAATTTTTAAAAATACATTCATGATGAAAAATCTGAAAACAATTCTAATATCATGTTCCAAGTAAAGGGCAAATCTGAGATGATCTATAATTTATATTCTAAGTTTATGGGTTTAAGAACAAAAAATAATTCAGTCTCCCCAAAATGGAAAGCCATATAGGATCACAAAGAGTAGGATCCCTAAAAGGCTTCTTCATTCCTAAGATGAAAGAGAACTAAAAACCTATTCTCCTTACTCGTTGAAGAGAAACTCCCCCCCCACACTTACCTATACCATTATCTAAGAAGTTAGTAATCATAAATTCACCTTTATGCTGGTTCTTAACCAGAAACCACACCACCAGTAAAATTATATGATTTTGAACTTGTTTCTTCTACACATATTAAAATAAATATATAATTATTAAAATTTAAGACTTTATTTTGTTCTCCTGAATCATCTTTTTTACCCACAGGTCACTACACTTTGGAATAACTGACTTTTATTGTGTTTACCTATTTAATATCTTAGGTTCAAGCATCCATGTGTTTGGAGACCTGGAACATATGTTTTGTTAGGCTAGCATCTACTGTTCTTTTGTTTGTTTTTGCAGTGCTTAGAATGAAATTTAGGGCTAAATAAGTATTCTACCAGTCCCTTGGCATCTGGTTTTACGAAGTGTGATCTAGTTTCATGATTTATGTTTACATATAGGTACCAAAAAGTGAGTGATTTAATAGAATTTATACGAGATGGGTTTTTTTTCCTTAAGGCCAGTTTTTTTTTAATTAAAAATTTAATGTATTTTTTGGAGGGGTTGAGTCAGGATCTTGCTATATAGTCCAAGGCAGCCTTGAACTTATTGTGTAGCCCAGGCAGGCCTCAAACTCTCAGTTACGCTCTTGCCTCAACCTCTTGAGTGGTGGGATTGCAGACACGTATCACCACAGTCAGTGAATAGCTGTTTTTTTTTTAAACAATCCATGTCCCTCAACACCCAATTTTGATGGATGTCCACTAATATGACTGCTTCATAGAATGTTTCTATGGAAAAAATTAATGTTGGCTAACATATGCAACTTTTTTTCACTATTGGGAATTGAACCCAGGCCTTTCATGTACTAAGCAAGTGATCTACTACTGAGCTACATCCCCAGCCTCAGAACATTTTTTTAAAGCTCAGAATTCTTTGGTTTATACATAGCTCAGATAAGTCCTGTTAAAAAAGTTAAATACTCTCTTGAGATCATGATCCTGTTCCCAGAGAAGATAACCAAAGTAAAGGGAGAGGGAGTAATCATGCAATTTACACTTTGGATGAAGATTTCTTTGTGGATGATATAAAAAACAAGCTTTGGGTTTTCAAACATAAAAAACAGAAGTTCTAGAATCTGGGAAAATTCTTAGGATAGAGACCTGTTTGGGATGCTTTATGGTTTGTTTGAAAGTATGGATGTGGTTTCTGTAGTATTTAAAGCTTTGTGGTTATTATAGGTAAGTCTTTATTTTTTTAAGGCCAAATTAAGAAAGGAATGGGAATCAGGCAGGATGGGCTATCATCAGCAGTAAATAATTGAGTTGCATAGCCAAGTAGTTATTCAACCAAATGCCTTAAGTTATAATTAGGTAGATTAAAGTGGAAGGCCTGTAAGATTTCTTTTCTTGTGTTTTTAAAACATAAAAAACGTCAGCATAAACCCCATATACAAAGCTTGTGGAAATCTGATAAAGCAGCAGCTGACCAGTGAATGTTTATATTTCTTTTGGGGCAGACTTTTTGTCTTTTCTCGAATATTAATAAGGCTAAAAACATTGGTTGAAGTATTTATTCTTATCTGTCTTTGGGCATATTTTTTTTAATTTAATTTTATTGAGTTTATTGGTACATTTTAGGGATACAGTACAGTTACATTCATTGTTGGGATCATGTACCTTTACATGGCAAGTCTTGATTCTCATTTTTTCCCCTTACCTCTGCCCTCCCTTCACCCCCTCCTCTCCTCCCCATCTACAAACACTTTATTTTCATCTTTTCATTCTCTCACATTTTTTTCTTTTCCCTTTTTGTTCTTCCCCTACGTATCACACCTTCCCTACACCTTTAGCTCTTTTCTTCAAATTTCTAAATGTCAGTAATCTTATTAGAATCTTATGCATTGTTGCAGAATATTCACACCAGGGAAACTATTTGGTATATTTTAATTATTGAAAAAAATGAATAATTGGAAAGAAACACACCAAAGAAGAAATATCAATTTTCTGTATTGTTCTAGTAAGGAAATACGGATTTCTTTTTCCCTCTTTTGATGCCTCATAAGGAATATTGTACATCTATAAGATAAATAGATCAAGAAAACAGGGAATGAAACACTGAATTGAGCTGTAGTACATTTGCCCATTTCACATGTGAACCCTAACTACTATATAGGGCTTCGGTAATTAAATGTCCTCTTATACCATTCTTGTTCCCTGATACTGTAATAACATTTGTGTTACCCTGTTTTATGTGCATATTGCCCTCCAGTGCCTCATCTGTTTGGAAGTTGGATATACATTATAAATAAATGGTGAATTTGGTCTTAGTGTTGACTACCTCATGACACTTAAATGAGAGTCACAGAGAGCACAAATGCACATTTTGGTTGTTTTGACTCCAGAGGTTAAACCTTAGAGTTTATAAATAACATAACAGAAATGATTCTATTACAATTACTCGTAAGGAAAACAACGCAGATAGACCCCTGGTCCCTCCAGTTAAACTCACTGGGCTCAAGCATCTCCAAGAGGTAGAGCCACAGAGTCGGTGCATTGTGAGAAGTGCAACTGCATAGCCAAGGACAGTCCTCACATTGCTGTGGGGAAGGCTATTGTTTGATTGTTTTTTCAGCTGCATTGTGTAGACAGCAGTCATTGTCAGGGATACCAAAGCCTCCCTCTTCTGTTTATGATGGTGCAAGACTCTCCTAGCTTCATAACACATGATATAAACAAAGTATTTAACTTTTTTCTATGATTAAGGAAACAAGGTCAAGGTAAATGCTTACACCATGTTTATAATAGGATTTAAACCAATTTCTATAGACTTCCAGTCTAGGGATCCTTTTACTGAATCTCCTATTTCAAGTTAAAGACGTAATCTGTGCTTGATTTAAATAATTGCAAACGAACATTGGGTACTGGAGACAGTGATGGACAAGGTAGAAAAGTTTTGTGCTTTTTATACAACATATAGGCCCAGAAGGAAGACAGATTAATTTATATGATGAATATTATAAGAGATATTTATGACCCAGTACTGGGTACTCTGGAGGTACATAGTGGTGTCTAGTCTATTGTATTGGATTAAAGAAGAGCCTCCTGGAAGAAATGGCGTTTAAGAGAACCTTGATAAAGGAATAGGCCTTATCCAAGCGAGGGGGTGAAGTGGGGTGGAGAATGTGCAGAATGCCTGAGATGAGTCAGAGAAAAGAGGAAGTCCATATGGCTGGAGAGAGGATTCCAGGTTGGTCAACGGCTAAAGCAAGGATTTTAGATGTCATCCAAAAGAAATGCATTATGGGAGAAAACAGGCCATCAGTGGGTATTAGAGAAAGCATTAGCACCAGCTGCCCCAGAGTGCGCCTAACTCGGATTACAGTCCCTAGCTTTGTTTTTATCTACTGTTAAGTATATATATATGGTGTAATAAAAAGTGTTTCAATTTTTTAAAATATTATTTCATTGATAGACACTGCCATTAATCCCACTCGCTTAGAACCTACTTACTCTGTTTTTTGCCACTTTTTGAAGGGTTCTGGAAGTCCTTTTTCAAGCCTTTAAGTAGACTGGAAGAAGAGATTCTTATTGATGCCATCTTTAATTTATTCAATATTTATTTATTGAATATCTGCTATATTCAAGGGCATATACATCCATGTACGAGGCACTATTAAAGACTCAGTGAGCAACCAAATAGTCATCGAGTACTGCTTGCCTATTAAACACTTAGAATTGTGTTGATTATTAAGGAAGTAGAAAGCCTTGTTTATAATAATCTGATGGGAAGATGGAGGACGTAAGATGAAGCAGCTTCTCCAAATAGTTATTATATAGACTTTAATATTTTCATAAATAATCAAGTTATCTCAGCATTATATCCAAAGATAAGAGAACATTTGATTATTGTTTAAAAGATTCAGAATTTAATTTCAGTTTCATATTGTCACATTAGTTTTTGCTTCAAAGTATGAATGCATACAATATGCCAGACATTGAATTGGGGATACAAGTTGAAGATGTTGCTCCTGGCCTTTGAGGAGCTTACAAAAGAGTGGGAAGTATAGATACGTCAACAAATAACGTGAGAATATTGTGTATAGTATGGTAAAGAACAGTGGTTAATGTGGGCAACTTTTAATTTGTTCCTTCATACTGCAAAAAATAGAGGAATGTATATCCTGAATTTTTTCTACTGATACACTTTTGGGGGGGGTACTGGGGATCGAACTCAGGACCTTGTGCTTGCGAGGCAGGTGGCAGAACCCCTAAGCTAAATCCCCAGCCCCTACTGATACACTTTTAAACAAAACAGTTGAAATTTAACACAATTCCTTTTTTTTTTTGTCTGTAAAGTTTCCTAAATAGAAGATGATGTCTAATACAGTTATTAAAATAATGAGGCCTTTCCTGTTTGGGGAATTAGTCTAGCTAAGTACAAAAGGAAAAATTAGCAGATTGCATTGCAGAAATAAAACTTTTAATCAGAAGAATTTTCAGTAGGATTAGACAGTTTTCTAAAAAACTGGTTATAAAAAAATCAACCAATGGGCTAGATCTAAGAAAACTTCATAAAATGTCCATCCCACACACACACACATCCACCCCAATCTGCAGTACTGGGGATTAAACCCAGGGCCTACGTCCTCAGATCTTTTTAAAGTTTTTATTTTGAGACAGGGTCTTGCTACATTTGTCCAGGCAGGACACGAACTTGTGATCCTTCTTGTATTAGATTTCTCTAGAGGAACAGATTCACTATAAATTATATGTGTGATTATTCAAGAGATTTATGAGGTAGGCTTACAGGATCCTAAGTGGAAGGAAGAGTCCCAGTGACTGTCAGATCGGAGATGGAAGAAGTCAAAATGGTCATCTGCACGCTGGAGAGCTGGTGGATCCAGCAGCAGTCTGTG